TCGCCCGCACGTCCATGATCCATGCCCGTGCGCCCCATTTTCTGTGGCCTCACGCGGTTCGCTACGCCGCACACCAGCTGAACCTCCAGCCGCGTGTCTCGCGGCCCGAGGCTTCACCGACCAGTCTTTGGACTGGTTCCCTGGTGTCGGGTCGGCCTTTCGAGTCTGGGGCTGCCTTGCGCTTGTTCGCGACACCTCCGCGGACAAGCTCTCGGCACGCGCCGTCCCCTGTGTCTTCCTTGGTTTCCCAGTGGACTCTGCCGACTGGTCCTTTTACCACCCGCCCCTCCACCAGTTCCTAGACTCTCGTGACGTCCGGTTTGACGAGTCTGTGTCCTACTACACCCGGTACCCCTGTCGAGGTCTCCCGGTACCCCCTCCCCCTCTTTTCCTCGCACCCTCTCCTCCTCCTGCTCCCGCCCCTCCGGTACCCCCGCCCCCCTCTGGTCCTGCCCCGTCTGGTGTGTCCCACGTTACCCCTCTACCCTCGGTCGCGCGTAAGGTAGCGGCTCCCTCCCCACAGTCCTCCTCACAGTCCCCTCAGCAGCCTTCGGCACTTCCGCGACAGGTTACTGTGGACTCGGTTGGTGTTGGAGCTGGAGGTGCAGCCGCTGGCGGTGCTCGGTCTGGGGGTACTCGGTCGCGGGGTGCTAGAGCGGGAGGTGCTGGCGCAGGTGGCGCTAGCTCTGGGGGTGCTGGAGCGGGAGGTGCTGGCGCAGGTGGCGCTAGCTCTGGGGGTGCTGGAGCTGGAGGTGCTGGCGCAGGTGGCGCTAGCTCTGGGGGTGCTGGAGCTGGAGGTGCTGGCACTGGTGGTGCTAGTTCTGGGGGTGCTGGAGTTGGAGGTCCTGGCACTGGAGGTGCTGGTTCTGGGGGTGCTGAGTCTGAGGAGCCTGACCCTGGTTCTGCGGAGTCCACTCCGCCTCCCCACCGCCACGACACACGTCTCCAGGCTGCCCGCCGGCGTGAGCGTGAGGAGCAGGAGCGGTTGGAGAGGGAGCGCCAGGAGCTGCGGGTACTGGAACTTCTGGAGCAGCAGCGGCAGCAGCAGCAGCAGCAGCAGCAGCAGCAGCCGCCGCAGCAGCAGCAGCCGCAGCCGCAGCCGCCGACGCCGCAGCAGCAGCCGCCGCCGCCACCGCAACTTCCTCTGGAGCGGCAGTTGTTCCCACCTGTGAGTGGCCTGCGAGCCCTTGGCCTTTCCTCCTCTCCTCTTGTCCGCCCCCAGTCTCCTCCTGTGTTTGTTCCTCCGTTGCCTCCTCCTGACGACCGTCTGGCGGTCTGGTCTTCTACTCCTCCCCAGTCTCCTCCTCCTTCGGTCCGTCGCGACTTGGTCACTCGTTGTCCTCCGCGTGCTCGTCACTCGTCCCCTGTTACTGACCTCCACACTGCCCTCCTTTGTACGTCTCGTCGTCGTTCTCCTTCTCCTGTGTCCGTTCTCCCGTCTCCTTCTCCGTCCTCTCTCCCAGCCCTCCCCACTCCTATCACTGACTACTACCGCACTGTTCGTCCTGTTGCCGCACGTGTCCTCGCCACTCTTGTCACCGACTCTCGTTTCCCTCCGTCGTCGGTCTCTGCTCTCACTGCCGCTGTCGCTGAGTTTGCTGCCGCCAGCCGCCTTGACTACGCCACCCGTGTGGTGCCAGCTCCTCCCTACCGTCCTCTGTCTGTCGGGGGTGAGTTTGCCCTTGGCTGTGACGTCCTAGAGGACAGAGAGTCTGAGCTGGAGTACTGGGCAGCCGCTTCTCCCTCTGTGTGTGCCATGCTGCTCTCCCCTGAGGGAGACCCCGACGCCCTTGACATACCGACTCCTCGCACTTACCGCGAGGCAGTGTCAGGGGTGTGGGCCTCTCAGTGGAAAGCGGCTATGGACTCAGAGTTGGCGTCTTGGAGATCCACAGGCACCTACGTCGACGCAGTTCCCCCTCCCAGGGCGAACGTAGTCGATGGCATGTGGCTCTTCAAGGTGAAGCGGCCGCCTGGAGCATCGCCGGTGTTCAAGGCGCGCTACGTGGCTAGGGGCTTCAGTCAGCGTGAGGGAGTTGACTTCTTCCAGACCTTCGCCCCGACCCCGAAGATGACTACTCTTCGGGTGTTACTCCACATAGCAGCGCAGCGAGACTACGAGCTGCACTCCCTCGACTTCTCCACTGCGTTCCTCCAGGGCCGACTGCACGAGGAGATCTGGCTGCGCCGTCCTCCTGGCTTCACTGACACCTTCCCACCTGGGACCCAGTGGAGCCTGAGGCGACCAGTCTACGGTCTCCGCCAGTCGCCCCATGAGTGGCACGACACTCTTCGCTCCACGCTTCGTGACCTTGGGTTCAGCCCGTCCTCCGCCGACCCGTCGCTGTTTGTTCGAGGGGGTTCTTCTCCCTTCTTTATCCTTGTCTACGTCGACGACTTGGTGTTTGCTACAGCAGACAGGGCAGCCCTGGCTCAGGTGAAGTCCGAACTGCAGAAGAGACACAAGTGCACTGACCTGGGTGAGCTGCAGCGTTACCTTGGCTTGCAGATTACCCGGGACAGAGCCGCTCGCACCATCACACTGTCGCAGTCACACATGGTGCAGCAGGTCCTTCGGCGGTTCGACTTCCAGTTCTCCACCACACAGCCCACTCCTCTTGCTGTTGACCACAGACTCACTGGCCCCTTTCCCGACGAGCCTTTTGAGTCCAGTGGTCCCTACGCAGAGCTGGTGGGCTGCCTCATGTACCTGATGACTTGTACTCGGCCGGACCTCGCCTTTCCCCTCAGCGTCCTCTCTCGCTTTGTTGCGACTGGGAGACACCGTCCTGTCCACTGGACAGCAGCTGTGAGGGTGGCGAAGTACCTGGCGACTACATCAGGCATGGGGCTTGTGCTTGGAGGGACTCAGCAAGTGGTGTTGACTGGTCACTGCGACTCTTCCTACGCTGACGACGTGGAGACTCAGCGCTCGACTCAGGGTTACTGCTTCAGCCTGGGAGCTGGTGCTGTGTCGTGGAGGTCTACACGGTCGTCGTCTGTGGCTACTTCCAGCGCAGAGGCAGAGATCTACGCTGGTGTCATGGCGGCACAGGAGCTTCGCTGGTTGACCTTCTTGCTTGCCGACCTTGGTGAGCGGCCTCGCTCTGCACCGACCTTGTACGCTGACAACAAGGCCATGATCCTCCTGTGTCGAGAGCCTCGACTGGAGAGCAGAGTGAAGCACATTGACGTGAGGTACTTCCTCCTGCGAGAGCTGCAGCGACGCGGCCAGGCTCGCCTGGACTTTGTGGCCTTAGAGGCCAACACTGCAGACGTTTTCACCAAGGCCTTAGCGCTTGGTGACCACCACAGGTTCTGTGTGCAGTTGGGGCTTGTTGAGGTTGGCCCTCGGTTGCTGTAGTCCTGTTGCTTGCTCTGCTTGTTATGTTTCCTATTTATATTCTAGTGAACTCTTGAACTGGCCTTGTGGCCACTTGCATGTGCTCGGAATTTGTGTGGTATCCTTGAGATCCACCCCGAGCTTGCCTTGTTTCTTGCGTTGACTGGTCTTGTGACCGTGTGCTCACCTTGCTTGCTTTGATGCCCCTCACTTAGCCTATGGGGGTGTGTCAAATGTTATATATTCTTTATATTGTTAGTCTAGGCTACAGTGAGTTGCCCTCTAAAGGGTACAACACTTTAGGTCGACACTTGTATCCCTTGCCTCTCACTACTCAATCACCACTTTTTCGATACTTCTCTCCTAGCCTAGTTTAAGAGAAACCTCCTATCAAGATTGTACCTTATGCCTGGTAAAAGTAGCGAGAGATTTCGGGTTTAGGGAATTTTCCAGTGAGAGCTTGATAGGAGGTTTTCTTGATAGGAGGATAGGAATACGCCCTTAATCCAGAGCTAGTGGTGCAACAGGTCAGACTGTCAAGACTATCAGTGCTGGGCCTTGGAGTCAGTCAGTCAGCGTAACCGCTGTGGGTTGGCTGCAGCGCAGGCCCCACGTTATCAGAGTAAATTACTCTGTTTCTCTGAAAATCAGAGTCATTTTTTAAAGTAACTCTGTACCCGCTGGGTTTTTTTTTGGAACTTAAGATTTCTCTGATTTGTCAGAGTTATGCTGTAGGTTACTCTGAGGCCTCTGGGGTTTTTTTTCAGGGACCGAATTTACTCTGTATAGGGAATACATGCCCCCTAGCCGAAACCCACCCACCCCCCTCCCCCCCCTCCCCCTCCCCACGTTTAGCGGGTTTTCCCCGAATCGTTGAGATTATTATCCTGATTTCGGTCGTGTGTTGGGGGCAATATGAGCGTTGATTGGCTACAAAAGTTTGACAACTTCTCAACCAGCGCACTTGTCAGCCACTCCCCTCCCTCTCCTTGAGTCAGATTATCGGTGCCAACACCTCACTTGGAAACAACGCACCGAGGGGGGAAACATGGGCGACGCGGAAATGAAACATAGTGCAAGCACAAAAGGCGTAACAAAAACTTTCATACAGCAAACTTAACCAACATCAGAGTAGAGAAAAATATTACTCTGACGTGCCTAGGTTTTATTTTTTAAAGTGTAGGGTTACTCTGACAAATCAGAGTAAGGCGCATGAACAACCCTAGATTTCAGAGTTGGGAAAAAATCTACTCTGGAAATCAGAGTACCTAGAATCCAAAAGTAGGCCCTGCTGCAGCGCAGCGCAGAACAGCGCCTGGCGGGCGATGGCCTGGCATAGTAAGTCCTTGTCTCCCAGCAGGTCAGTGCATGGCTCGTGGCTCCTGCGGCACCGTCACCATGGGCGTTTTTGAGACGGTCTCAAAAACACCCTCTCTACACGATGCACCAAACCCTCACCCTAAGACAGCCTTCCAAGGGGAGCGGCACGCGGGGGAACTCGGCCTGAAGGCGAGCAATGGCATGCCGAAAGTCCTTGTCTCCTAACAGTCACTGCCCGGTTCCTGAGGCACCGTGACCATGAGCTGTATGCACCGCAGGCGCTTCTAAGGCTGCTGCATGTTGCCTGGCATACCACCAATGGCCTGAGCGTGTGCAGTCACGTCAGTTGCCAGATAGACGGGAACGACACGCGGGGGAACTCAGCCTGCAAGCGAGCAATGGCCTGGCAGAAGTCCTTGTCCCCCAGCAAGTCAGTGCCCGGTTCCTGAGGCACCGTGACCATGGGCTGTATGCACCGCAGGCGCGGGCTGCCACGCAGGAGGGCGGTGAGGAAGGCGATGACTGCCATGGCGTGGTCGTGATACTCCACGTGGAACTCTTCCAGGCTGGGCGCCTGGAGGATTGGGGGGGGGAAGGAGGAGGGGATGGGATGCCTTTGAGTGATGCAGTTGCTGGAGTGCATCAGTGGGACAGCGCTGTGAGGAAGGCGATGAACGCCATGGCGTGGTCGTGATACTCGATGTGGAACTCTTCCAGGCTGGGCGCCTGGAGGGAGAGGAGGGGAGGAGGTAGAGATGCCTTAGATTGATGCAGTTGTTGAACTGCTTGAGAGGAGCAGTGCGGTGAGGAAGGCGATGACTGCCATGGCGTGGTCGTGATACTCCACTTGGAACCCTTCCAAGCTGGGCGCCTGGGGTGGGGGTGGAGGCGGTGAGGAATGAGTTCAGTAGTGCCCCGCAGAATAGCGGTGAGGAATGCAATGATGGCCATAGCGTGGTCGTGATACTCCACGTGAAATTCTTTCGAACTGGGCGCCTGGAGAGTCGGGGGGGGGGGGGGGGGGTGGGAGAGGGTGAGTTTACGGGGTGTGCTCACAAGCGAGTTGACTTTTGAGTCGACTCAAGAGTTTACGGGGTGTGCTCACAAGCGAGCGACTCAAGAGAGGGTGAGTTTACGGGGTGTGCTCACAAGCGTGGCAATCACGACGAATGGAGACGGAGGGGCGGAGCAGCTGAAAGTGCAGCAATGGACGCACAATGTACCTGGCCCTCGCATCACTGCCCATTTTTGAGAATTCTCAAAAACCAGCTCGTATCACAATGTACCAGACCCTGGCATCACCGCCCATTGCCACTCTGGTATGCAAAAACACATACCCTCATGACCTTTGTGTCAGCCAGTGTGGGAATAGTAATGTAGCTGATGGAGCGGCAGAGCAGCAGGAAGCGACGTCCACGGCACCGCAAGCAGCGGGATTTGAGCCTAAGGCAGCGGGCGGATGGACACTCACCCGAATGACTTTGCTGTTCCCCAGCATGGCACACACGTACCCTGATGACTTTTGTATCGCCTAGCGTGGCGATCATGACGTAGTAGACGGAGGGGCAGAGCAGCAGGAAGCGCAGCGAGGGCTGCATACCCTACCTGCCCCTTGCAACACCACTGCTCTTTGCCACTTTGGTGTGCGCACACACACTCACCCTGATAACCGTCCTATCCCCCAGCATGGCACACACATACCCTGATTACTTTGGTTTCCCCTAGTGTGGCGATCATAACGTAGTAGACGGAGGGGCAGAGCAGCAGGAACCGCAGTGACGGCAGAGAGGAGAAGAATGCCGTTGCAGTATCAATGGAGGCAACTGTGAGAGGGTCAATGTAGCAAGTCAGAGACAGCTCCTCGAGAGAAAGTGCGCAGAGATCAAGGATGGCGCGCACCGTGCCCCAACTCCAGTCATCGCCTGTCAGCTGGGGAAAGGGAGAGGGAGGGCAAGCAGGAACAATGGGAGGCGGCTGTGAGCGGGTCGATGTAGCATGTGAGCGAGAGCTCCTAGACAGAGAGAGCGTTGAGGTCTAAGATGGCTCGCACTGTGCCCCAACTCCAGTCGCCACCTGTTATCTGGAAGTAGGGAGAAAGGAAGAGTAGCAAGGGGAGGAGGGGTTGATGCAGAACGTGAGATACAGCCCGTACAGAGAGTGACCACTGAGAGTGACCACTGAGAGTGACCACTGAGAGTGACCACTGAGAGTGACCACTGAGAGTGACCACTGAGAGTGACCACTGAGAGTGACCACTGAGAGTGACCACTGAGAGTGACCACTGAGAGTGACCACTGAGAGTGACCAGTGAGAGCAAGAGCACCCCACACATTTTTTGCAACTCCAATCATCGCCTGCTTATTGCTCCGTTCAGTGTCTGTTGCTTCAAACATGTTGCACAAATTCACAAACAGGCTTAAACTTGACCGTACCTTGAGCTCGGTGAGTCGGCTGAAAGCATCGGGGTTGGCGTGAAACCGCAAGCCAGCAGCCAGCTCCAGAGACATGCGCCGCAGCCGGCCCCTTTGAGTCGAACCAAAGAACAGGCTTGAACCTGACCGTACCTTGAGCTCGGTCAGGCGGCTAAAAGCATCGGGGTTGGCATGAAATTGGAAGCCAGCTGCGAGCTCCAGTGACATGCGCCTCAGCCGCCCCGACTCGATGCGGATGTCGCCCCACAGCTCGTGCTCCAGCCGCCCCTCCGGCGCCCAGTCCACCTCCAGCTCTAAATCCTGGCAGTCAGAGGCAACAAAAAGAAGGGGGAGGTGCCTCAGAAGCTTGTGAGAATAAAAAAAAAACCAACTCCGGGTGTTACCAGTGGCAAAAAGACGAAGCGGGAGGTGCCTCAGAACAAGCTGCCCCTCCGGCGGCCAATCCACCTCTAACTCCAGGCCCTGCCCGTGGCAGCAAGACATACATGAATCCAGGGATCAAGGTCTCGGGTTCAAAAACTGGGGTTCGGGGTTAAATGGTTAATGTCCAGGGTTCATAGGATAAGTTGAAGGTCTAGGGTTCAAATCTGCAGTTCATTGGGGTTCAGGGCACGACATACCAAAGAGCTGCACCGTACCTCGAGGTTGGGAGCGTTCAGCCGGAGCAACTCCAGACAAGCATCCTTCCTAGCGGCGCGGTTGCTGAGCCTCACTTCAAACCTCCTCAACTCAGCACACGGCGCATGCATCAGGTCCAGTGGCCCGATCCCCGAGCACAGCAGCAGCGTCAGCTCCTGCAGCCGCGGGCAGCAGGCTAATAAATCCCCCACCATGTCCCCCGCCACCACTGCTTTAGCGAGGGTCAGGTGGGTGAGAGAGGCGAAGGGCGAGCAGCGGTGGAGTGTGGAGACGCAGTCAAAGACGGCGTTCTCGAGGTACAGCTGGCGCAGGTTGCGGCAGCGCGACGCGTGCTCCAGCTTCCACTCCTGCGGTTGCTCCTCCACTTCTTCATCTTCCTCTGCCGCTGCCGCTGCTGCTGCCCGCTGGTGGGCACGGGATAAGTTGACGTGGTAGGGTGGTTGGGGGAGCCTTGCGGCAGTGCCAGCAGCAGCAGCAGCAGCACCGTCCCTGCTACCACCACTGCCGCCACCGCCACCGCCGCCGCTGCCACTGCCGCCGTTGTCAGCGCTGTCGCTGCTGCTTCGATCAATAGTACCGCCGTTATCAAAGCCATGGCTCTGCCTTTCACTCTCTCCTTGTCTGGACCCAGCAGCAACAGGAGCACTGGTGGTGGCACTGGCGCTAGCATCAGTGCCGTTTCTTCTAGCTGCTGCTGGCAGATCTACAGGTGCAGAGGGAGGAGCCGCGGCAGCAGCAGCAGCAGAGCCGGCAGCAGCGGCGGCAGCAGCAGCAGCAGCAGCAGCAGCGATGGCGGCAGCGTGGGCCTGGGCATGGTGTATGGCGGCGTCTGCTGTGCCGTCCACGAGAGTGAGCTCTTCTAGAGAGTCCCTGCACGCCAGGCACCACGTCATCACCGCTAGCTCCTGGAGAGCGGGGAGGGAGGGTGGGGGGAAGATGAGGGGAAGGTGGGGGATAAGGTCGGGTGAATGTGGGAGGGAAAGCAGGTGCGCTCTTCTAGGGAGTCGCGACACGCCAGGCACCACGTCATCACCGCTAGCTCCTGGATGGGGAGGGGGAGAGGGGTGAGGGACAGTGGGGGGACGTGGGAGGACGGTGAGTCGAAGGTAGGTTAAGAAGGTGGTTCTGAGCTATAATAATGCTTTTGAGCTATAATAATGCTTTTGAGCTATAATAATGATTTTGAGCTATAATAATGCTTTTGAGCTATAAGAATGCTTTTGAGCTTTAATAATGCTTTTGAGCTGAGTACTGAAGGTGATTGTAGCTGAGAGCCCACTGAAGCTCAACGCTGCTCACCAGCAAGGGGGCGAGGCGGGGCGAGCACACCTGGAAGGGGTCGAGGCGGGGCGAGCACACCTGGAAGGGGTCGGAGGCGGGCGGAGCTTCGACGTAGAGCGAGGTGACGGCGGCCGTGGCCTGCAGCAGCGCCTGCGTGATGCCCCTCTCCGCCGCCTCCCTGTGGGGGAAGTCCTCCGCCAGGAACACCAGCGCCCCGCCCACCCGCACCACGCGCTGGGGGAGGGGAGATGGGGGGGGGGGGGACGGGGAGAGGGAGAGGAGGGGAGAGGGGAGGGGGGAAGAGGGGGAGGGGGGGTGGGGTTTTGTGGGAAAGGGTGCGTGTGGGAAGGGAAGGGATCCGAGCGAGCACGTGCCGCATTGCTGCGCTAGTAAAGCGTTCTTTCAAGAAATATGGTTGTTTCTCACCCGGAGATACGAGCAGGTGGAGCGGAAGGCGACGAGGCTTTTGGCATGCACGATGAACGACGCGATCTTGCCGCACAGGCTGTCGGGCAGCAGCTCGAAATACCCGCAACCCCTCCAACGTCGCGCTGCTCCGCGCCCAGGTCTCCCAGTGTCCCGCGCGCGCGGCTGCTGCGCGACGTCAAAACCCGCGGAGTCTGCTACCGCGGAGTCTGCTACCGCGCAGTCTGCTCCCGCGGAGTCTGCTCTCGCGGAGTCCTCCCCCGAACACGGCGGAGCGCTTCGCATCAAGGTGCGGTCAGGGGAAGCGGCATCGTTCCGAGGAGAGCCCCCCTTGAGACCCTCCGGATGATCGCCGCCGTCCATCGCGAGGTCTACAGGACCGTCGTCTGCCCGATTGAACGGCTGAGATCTATCCGCGACCGGTTGAGCCTGAAATCGGAGGTACACTGCGGGAGATTGGAAATCAACGAGCGGTTCGCGTCCGGGATGGTGATGGTGATGATAACCCGATGGATGCGCGGCGTCGCCGTCATCGGTAACGCGATCGCAAAAAGTAGCGGCGACAGCGTCGCAATCATCGGTAACCCAATCGCGAAAGGGAGCGGCTCTCGAACGAGACTCGGTACTCCTTGAAGCCCTACTCGTGGTAGTTCCCACATCGGCTCCTCCTGGAAGGTAGTTAGGATCCTCTGGCGGAGGGTCTAAGTTTAAGTCCATGAGAGCTAACGAACGGTTACTAGTTAAGTTAAAGCCAGCACCGCAATACGAAGACCATGAGACAAAGGTATCGGGTGGGATGCCACTAGGTGTACAACCACGAATTGAAGGAGAGCAAGAGGAACCGAGCTACGGTGGTGGCGGTCGAGATGAGATGGTAAAGCAAGCATCGAGTCTGCGACTAGGGAGTGACGAGAAGACGATATGGTAGGATAAGTGCTGGAGTGCACGCAAATTAAATACGGTCTAGAACGGTTCAATCAGTCTAGTCAGGAGCAGAACAGTCTTGCTGGGATGAACTGTACTGTAGGAAGCTCCTTCCACCACTTGATCCACTGGAAGTCGATGACGACACGACACCCCCCCAGCTCGTCCCTGTTCCCTGCTTGCAGGGGAATCCACAGTGCAGATTCCACTGCACCCTCCACGCCATGGCCCATGATGCTGAACGCGATGGTGTGGCGGCGCCCAAGGTGCACGTGTGGCTCCCGCGAGTGAAAGTGAAAGTGGCGATTCGCGAAACCGAAGGGACGTGAAATGGAAGTGAACAGCGACCAAGTGAATGAACAAGAAAAGTGCCACCTTAGAAGGATGATCCGCTTTGACATTAGAACTGAACAGATGCAAATGCTGTTCTAAGCGGTTGTAACAAAATGAATGTTCTTTCCCATTGTAGAAAGTGAGACATCAAGGTTCAAGTCCTTTCCTTGGACCCCTTTCCACATACCAGTTCTGTATGAATTTATGCGATTACATCTTATTATGCTTCCATGATATATGCCAGTGTGAGTGAAGAGTGGAAACTGAACATACGGTAGAATCAGATTCCCTAAGTATGGATGGAGTAACATCTCAAGACAGATCACCTGTATCAATCTTCTTAATAATCTCAAACTTGTTTTTCAGTTTCCAGTTGCCGCCATTAGCAGCCATCACCACCAATGCTATCACCTGCGCTTTCGTGTATTCCTGCACGATCAACAAAAATCAAACGCAGTACAAGGTCAATCGATAAACACGACGGGAAACTATCCTTGACAATGTCACAAATGTATCACGGTATGAGTAGAAAGCACATTTTCTCGTAAGTACAGTGCGTGGAGAAGATATGACGATGAAGAAGCTACGATGGGATGGGCAGTGGGCAGGGCAGGGTACTCACCGGATGTGCTCGCACCCAGTCAATGATCTGACTCTCACTCAAGTAGAATGCCTGCACACGCACCCACAACCACACAATGCGCGCTTGACGCAATGGTCTGAGACGAATGAGGTCGAACAGATACGTTTGCCAAGAAGCCAGTGCCAACGCTGTGAAAAACCCCTTTTTTTCATCACAACATTCATTGTCCACGCAGCAAGCAGCCAGCAGCGTGAGCGTGGCGAGCGGGGCAAGAGGGGTGGGCAAAGCGAGCAGAGGGAGAGGGGCGAACTCGGCAAGCGGGGCGAGCAGTGCTAGCGGGGCGGGGAGGCCGAGCAAGGAGAGCAGACCTTGATGTAGTTTTTGACGAGCTGGAGCCCCTTGACTGCCCCCCGCCCCACTATGGGCTGCAGACTTCAGAGTCGACTAAAAAAAAGGTGACTTTCGAGTCGACTTAAAGGCCACCACGGCTAGGCGAGCAGGGCGAGCAGAGGAAACACACCTTGATGTAGTTGTCGACGAGCTGCAGCCCCTTGACTGCCCCCCGCCCCACTATGGGCTGCAACCCCTGCACCAGCACCTGCGGATGATGATACGGGCATGGAGCATGGGTGGGGAACAGGAGGGGTTGAATGAATCCAAAGTAAATGGGCAAAGCAGGACGACTGGGAGCAGCAGGCGTGATGAGAAACGGGAGGGAAAAAAATGGCTTGAGTAACTCTTTTGATGCTGTTTCAAAGTGAGACACGGGGAGAGACCTGACTCGACATGAAAAATCCACCTGAAGGTTAAGTGATATGAGAAATCACCTGAAGCTCAAGCGACATGGAAATTTGCCGAAACGGTCAAGTGACACAGGTTATTGCCTGAAGGACGAGTGACATAGAAACTCACTTGAAGTCAAGGGACGTGGAAATTTACCTGAAGGTCAAGGGACATGAGAAATCACCTGGAGGTCAAGTGACATGAGAAATCACCTGAAGGTCAAGGGACATGAGGGCACGGCCATTGCTGTTGCACTTCTTGACCCGGCAGATGCCATCCAGCATGACGTCACAGAGCTCGTCCAGGCCATATGCCACCAGCTGGTCCTGCACCTGCATGCATGCATGCATTCATGGATGGACAAGTGAGCATGCATGCATGGGGGTTACAGGTGAGTGCTTGACGACTAGGAAAATTCCTTGAGCAGATGCCGTGGAGCATGACATCACAGTGCTCGTCCAGGCCGTATGAGACTAGCTGGTCCTGCACCTGCATGCGTGTACGCATGGGATGAGAGAGATGTGCGTGCATGAAGGTTACAGGTGACTGCTGACATCACAGAGCTCGTCCAGGCCATAAGCGACGAGCTGGTCCTGCACCTGCACACATGCATGGATGTATGGCAAACATATCCACACATGGATGCGTGCACGAGGAGAGGGCAGGCAGTGTGCGTGAGATTGAGCCACGAGATTGTCTGACTTGTAAAGCCTGATATGGCGTGCCGTGAGATAAGAGTGAGGCTTGAGTGAAAAACTTAGGGGCATCTAACCTGGAAGAGGGCATGAGGAAAGTCTGACCTGTCGAGGCGCTCCAGACTGCCCCAAGCGGTGGGCGAAAAGGCGGAACTCGGCTACCAGATTCTCCACATAGCTGATTGGTCGCAGGGAGGATGGTGGGGATGAAGATGATGGTTCTTGATACACTGGTGCGCATGAATCCCTTATAAGAAAACAGAAAACCTCATGCAAACTTCCGAGCATGTAAAAATCTGCTCCGCAAGACATCCGCGTGAAGTGAGGCAATTTTCGAGGCGCCTAAAAATTCGTGTTCACGGAGATCCTACAAAACCTTCTCATCGCATGCGATGCAAAAACACCCCTGCGCCTCACATGTTGTGCTGTGTGCCAATGTCAACCGGCTCCCAGTTGACAGCAGCGATGCGGTCCGCCGTGCCTGCTATGTTGAGCAGCAGCTTGACGAGGGTTCGCAGCACGTGCTCCCACAGGTCTGGTACTGCGTCCAGCTGAGGACGGAAGGAAAGGAAGGGGAATAAAGGAAGGGGGTAATTCCAGGGGGGAAAGGTAGGGTACCAAGAAACCATGATGAGCAGCAGCTTCATGAGCTCCCACAGGTTTGGTAGGTACTGCGCCCAGCTGAGGAGAGGGGGGAGGCAGGAGGAGAGGGACGAGGGGGTTGAGGGGGGTTGATTCGAAGAATATAGGATGGTGTGATCAGGACGATGCTGGGCAGCAGCTGGACGCAGTACCATACCTGCAGGATGTGCTCTCACGTGCGTCCAGCTGGTTGGTGTTTTTGAATTCTGAGAATTCTAGCTGAGAATTCTCAAAAACACCCTGCAGGATGTGCTCTCACGTGCGTCCAGCTGGAGCTGACGGGGAGTGAATGTCGGTGGGAAAGGCCAAAAGGGCTTTTGAGGCGCCTCAGAAGTCATAGCAAGAGTGGTTGCAAGGCCGAGAATGGGAGTACAGACAGGGCAATGAGCAACGAGCAGTAGCTTCAGCAGCGGGAGCAGCAGATGCATATGGACAGACAGACGGGTACACAGGTGGGCAGAGAGGGCGGGCAGATGGGCAGACAGTCGGGCAGACAGGTGGGCGGAGAGGCGGGCAAACGAGCGGGAGACAGAGGGGCAGAGAGACGGGGGGAACAGCGGGCAGAGAGACGGGGGGAGAGATAGACACCCACCGTGCAGGCATAGAAGACATCCATGGCAGTCCAGGTGGGCGGGGCGAGCAAGGACAGGTTCGAGGCTGAACGGGTGGACCAAGTGACAGAGACATACTTTGGGTCGACTCATCACAGCAGGCACCCATAGAAGTTTATGGCAGTCCATGCAGGCGTGTTCTGAGTTTACTTAAAGCCCACCAGCAGAGAGAAAGACAGGCAGACATGCAGGCAGAGAGAGAGAGAGAGAGAGAGAGAGAGAGAGAGAGAGAGAGAGAGAGAGAGAGAGAGAGAGAGAGAGAGAGAGAGAGAGAGAGAGAGAGAGAGCAAGCACCTACCGTGCGCGCATAGAAGACATCCATGGAGGTCCAGGCAGGCGGGGCGAGCAGCGACTGGAAGCGCGGCTTGGTCTGCCGCAGCATGTCCGTTAGCCACATCAGCGACTCCATCGCCACACAGCGCTCCTGGGGAGAGCATTGCATGGGATTGGATGGGAGTTGGAATTCATAGAGATAGAGATAGAGATACGGGAGGAATGCATGAGCGAAATTGAGGCTTGGTCTGCCGCAGCATGTCCGTTAGCCACATTAGCGACTCCATCGCCACACAGCGCTCCTGGAGAGGGATCAGAGGCACATATATGATGTTTGTAAGCCAGATGAGGGACTCCATCGCCACACACACAGCGCTCCTGGAAAAGGAACATGGAAAGAAGGAGATGCAGGTTGAGCAGTGGAGAATGGCGCCTGTGCTTGTTGTGACATGTCTGCGAGTGGATGAGTAATTCCATGACATTACTTGTGAAGAAGGCTAAGCAGTGGAAGGAGATAGCTGCAGTGCCCCCGCACACTCACCTTAAGTCCGAACATGTTTGAAGAAGAGACCAGTACGTTGTTTGAACCGCCCCCTGCCAAGCTGCCACTGCTGCTCCCACCGCCAATCACCCCCCCCACCGCCTCCACTGCTGCTGCTGCAGCCGCGGCAGCTGCTTCTCCCAGCGCTGCTGCTGCCGCTGCGCCAGTCACGGAGGGAGTGCCGGTGGGGGAGAGGGACGAGATGGGCTTGTTGCGCGCGTCGTCCAATCCCTGCGCGACACGTGCCAGTGTGGTGCGCAGCTTAGGGGTCAGCACTGTGGGAGAGGGGGAGTGTGGTTGGAAGGAGTGGGGGAGAGATGGAGGGCCGGTGGGGGAGAGGGACGAGATGGGCCGGTTGTGCACGTCGTCCAATCGCTGTGCGACACGTGCCAGTGTGGCGCGCAGCTTGAGGGTCAGCACTGGCCCCTGGGGAGGAGTTAGAGTGTGGTAAGGGGTGGGGGAGCAGTGGGTGGGGCAGGAGAAAGGTGATGAGAAAGAGAGGGATGAACACTGGTGGGGCAAGAGGGGCCTATAGAGGTGGAGGAGGGGAGGGAAGAGGCGAATAGGCTGCCCCAGACATATGAATAGGCATGTGATTAGGCATGTGCACGGAGAGTATGTGACACAGACATGTTGAAGAGCACTCACGGGCGGCAGCAGCAGGGTCGGAGGAGCGCAGTGTGCTAACGGCATCGGGGCTGCCAAACAGCCGAAAGACCGTCACGAGGTAGAGGTCAAACAGCTGGCACAAACCCTGGTAGATGTGTGTGTGGTGGGAAGGAGGGTTGATTCAGAATTTCGATCTCGGAACACTGTCACGAGGCGGATGGTAAACAGCTGACACAGGGCCTGGTACATGGGTGTGTGTGGTGTGTGGGTGGGGGGCATATGTGTGCATGGGGGGGAAGTTAGTAGACTGTCATGAGGTACAAGTCAGACAACTGGCACAGACCCTGGTGTGTGTGTGTGTGTCATGGGGGAAGAGGCGCAGACACATGCAGGAGGAATGGATCAGAGCCTGTCCAAAGGTAGTGCCCGAACAACTGGCACAGACCCTGGCGGGGTGGGTGTGGGTAGTGTGTGTGAAAGGTAGGCAGGACAGTGCCAAAAGAGCGATTGAAGGAAGGGGGCAGGCAGTTGTACACAGTCACGAGTTTAGGGCACAGATGAAGGCATTATTGAATTGAAGCAGCTGATAAAGAAAGCCCCTGGTAGCTGCGCGGACAAGAGGTGAAGGAAGGAGGCAGCGAGCAAGGGATGGGAGCAGAGAGAGTGAGGGAGGAGGGAAGGAAATGAAGCACTGAGGGGACTTACAGCGAAGATCCCAGAAGCGATAGGAGGCAGCAGCCCCATGAGGCGCGTGTAGCGGTCCATGAGCCTGAGGGGTTGAGAGGGGCGGTCACAGGGGAAAAGGGAGAAGTACACAAAAGCAGCAAGGGTGACTTTCGAGTCAAACCAACCGCAGAAGTCCCATGAGGCGAGTGTAGCGGTCCATGAGCCTGAGGGGTTGAGAGGGGGACAGAGGGGCGGCCACAGGGGAAGAGGAGCACAGGAGCACATGAAAGCAGCAGCATAATGATAACACACAGCTGCTGATATCTGAAGGAGGGACATGTGCAGCCCCAGACCTGACGATAAGAGACCGACCCCAGCAGCCACACACCTGATGACCGTGAGAGCAGCGCCAGTGAGTGCCAGGCCCGTATCCAGCCCGCCTCTCCCCCCCACATCCCCACCTCCATCCTCCGACCTCCGCCTTCCCCTACCCGCCAGCACAGCCGCCGACACCCCCACCTCCTCCTCGTCTATATAATCCGCCATAAGCTCCTCCCTCTCGTCCTCGTCTTCCTCTCCCTCCCCTACCCCCTCCCCATCCGCACTGACCCTGCCCCTCACTCCTGCTCCCCTCGCTGGGGCTTGGCTCCGGTTTCCTCGGCACGCTCTGTCTGACTCTGCTCGCCCCCCTGGCAGAATCCGTCCCTGTGGGTTCCCTGCTTGCCCTCTGCTGCTCCCGTCTCCACCTTCCCTCGTCCCTGCTGCTGCCCCTGATGCTGACGCTGCAGCGCCACCAGATGCAGCTCCTGCTCCTCCTTCCCTGCCCCCCGTCCCTCCGCCACCACTCCCGCTGCTGCTCCTTTCACCGCCCTCCGCCCTCTCCCCTCCCTCCCTCCCCTCCGCTGCCTCCTCCTCCCCTGCCTCCACTGCTGCAAATGGGTTTCCTCGTTCCAACCACTCCCGGAAATCCCGCCTCTCCTTCGCTCCCTCACCACCCGAACTCACATCCTCTGCTCCCCCACTCTCCCTACCCCCTACAGAATTGGAGGACGACTGGGTGGAGAGGACAAAGGAGGAGGCGGAGGAAGAGGAGGAGGGGGCGGAGGAGGTGGTGAGGCTGATGAGTCTGAGCGTGTGGATGGTCTCTGGTGGTAGGCGCTGCCACGTCTCTCGTTCCAGGATCATCTTGAGCACCTGGTGGTGGAAGCAAGCAGGTGCGGTGAGAAGCCACACCTTAAGGTTCTGGCGGTGGCAGGTGTTGTAGTCACGTCTGGAAACTCTCAAAAGCTACCCTAATGCATCTGGCTGCAAAAAAACCGCACTTTGAGGTTCTGGCGGTGGAAGGTGTTGAAATAGACCTTGCTCTGCTTCACCTCTCTAAATCCCACCTGTACGTGAGCCGCTCCTATACCAATGCCTCCTTCACTGGCATAGCGTGGCTCCTTCAAGAAACAGGACCGAAGTTCACACCTTGAGGTTCTGGCAGTGGAAGGTGTTGAAGAAGCACACCTCGCTCTGCTTCACCATCTTGGCTCTCAGCCCGTCTCTCAGACTCCCACCACCCAACACCTGCCAGTACATGAGCCACTCCCATACCAACACCTGCTTCACTGTCATCACCTGATGAGCGGAAATATGAGTTTCTTTTCTACCACCTGGCTCCTCAACAAAACAGGGCTTAATATCCTCCTTACCCTGGGTTTGGAATCCGCACCTTGAGGTTCTGGCGGTGGAAGGTGTTGAAGTAGACCTCGCTCTGCTTGACCATCTTGGTTCTCAGCCCCGCTGCTTCCACCCCCGTGAACGCCTCTCCCACTGCTGCGAACTTGTCCACCCACTCCAGGCACTGGGGGGGAGAGAGAGGAGAAGAGATAAGAGGGAAACGAAGAGAAAGGAAAGGGGAAAGGCAGGTGCAGGTAGCACACGAGTTCACTCGGACAGTATACTTGTAAGAACGCAAATGAAAGCCTTATGCCATATGCGGCCCACACGTCATGCCAGCCGGCAACGCACCTGGCGGAACTGCTGGGAGGACACTGAACAGAGCGCCGGCGTGGTGAGCAGCGCACCCACCCAGTGCGCTGCAAGCCCCACATGGCCGTCCGTCCCCACCATCATCACATCGTCCGTTCCCAACGCCCTGCCCACACGTTCTGTTCTGGCACTGCCAGCCAGCAACGCACCTGGAGGAACTGTTGCGACGACCCAGAGCAGAGCGCCGGCGCGGTGAGCAGCGCACCCACCCTGCGCGCCGCCAGCTCCCATACGGCCTTCCTATTCTTCTGCAGCGCGCGGCAGACGGCAGCCGTGGTGCTGACGCGCATCTTACGAGCCACGTTGGGCGGCAGGTCCGCCAGCGACCCCTCTCTAAAGTCACTCCCCATCATCATCACATCGTCTGTTCTCAGTGCCATGTCCACTCCCCCTCCGCCACCCTGATTTCTGCTTCTATCGTCTCCACCACCAAAGCCTGCTGCTGCTGCGGCTGCTGCTGCGACAGCTGCTGCTGCAATGCCTTCTCCCAAACCCCCCCTTCCTCCTCCTCCTCCTCCTCCTCCTCCTCCTCCTCCTCCTCCTCCTCCTCCTCCTCCTCCTCCTCCTCCTCCTCCTCCTCCTCCTCCTCCTCCTCCTCCTCCTCCGCCTCCTCCGGCTGCTTCTGTCCCAGAAGGCCCTGCAGAGGGGATGGGAGGGCGGCCGTCTCTCACCAGAGCCTCAGCACCAGAAGCAGCAGCAGCACCCGCGCTGCCCCATGCCTCGTTGTGCCCCTCACTTGACGACCGCCTCACCTGCCGCCTCTGCTGCTGCAACTGCGCGTGCCCCATCTGCTGCTGCGCCGCCTGTGCATCTGACCTCTCTGAACTGGACCTCTGTGCTTCTGTCCTCTGCACACCTGATCTCTGCCCGTCTGACCCACCAGCACCCTCACTCCCGCTGTTTCTCTCCCCGTCTTGCACCTTCCCTGGTTCAGCCCCGTTGTCCCTCTCACTATCCCCCTCCTCAACTTTCTCCTGTAGCTGCTCACCGCCCCCAGGGATCTCGATCACCAGGCTCTGGCTCCTCCGCCTCGCATGCAACCCCTCTCGCAACTCCCCGGGTGCCCTGCCCTCACCACCTGCTGCAGCGCCCTCAGAAGCTGCAGCCCCGTTTGCCTCACCAGCACCACTAGAAGCACCACCAGTACGAGCAGCACTACCACCAGCAGCAGTGCCACCAGAAGCAGCAGAGACGGAGGAAGAGCGGGGAAGGCCGTGAGGAGGAGTGGGGACGCGGGCCAGTTGGGGGAGATCGGAGGCGGAGGAGGAGGCAGAGACAGGCGCCGAGGCACACATGGGGTCCGGTGCTGCCATGCGAGGGAAGCGGTCCATTGACATGGTGTTGGGGCGCTGGGGAGAGGAGAGGGGGGAAGGGAAAGGGGGGAATAAAGGGTGGGTGTGCACAGAGGGGCACACACGGGGTCCGGTGCTGCCATGCAAGCGGTCCATTGACATGGTGTTGGGGCGCTGGGGGTCAGTGGGTGGGGTGGGGTAGTAAGGAAAAAGAGGGAATTAGATTGAAATCTTCACAGAGGGGCACACACGAGGTCTGGTGCTGCCATGCGGGGGAAGCGGTCCATTGACGGTGTTGGGGCGCTGGGGAGAGGAGAGGGGGGAAGGGACAAAGGGGAATCAGAGGGAGATGTGCACAGAGGGGCACACACAGGAGGTGGTGCTGCCATGCGGAGGAGGCGGTCCTTTGACATGGTGTTGGGACGCTGGGGGAGGGGATGAGGGGGAGGAGGGGGAAAAGGGATAGTCAAAGGTAGCGAGGTGACTTTTGAGTCGACTCAAAAGTCACCTCCAAGGTAAAGTCAAAGGTAGGTGTGCACAGAGAGGCACACATGGGGTTTGGCGCTGGCATGCGGGGGAAGCGGTCCATAGAAATTGTGTTGGGGCGCTGGGGGTAGGTGGGTGGGTGGGTGGTTGGATGGGTGGGTAGATGGGGGAACGGGATAATAGAGGAATGGAGGGATGGAGGGATGAAGATGGGATGGAAAGGAGAAGGGTAGGCGGGGATGGAGGCATGAAGGAAGGCAAAGGTGCTGGGAGGCAGGGGAAGCGATTCATTGACATTATGTTGGAGGCTTTTTGAATCTAGTCAAATATGGGAGAAGCACACATGGATGGAGCAGCACACATGGCAGAGCATATGGCAGCACATGTGGCAGCATGGCATCACAATGGCAGCAGGCATAGGGTTGTAGCATGCAGAGCAAGGGAAGGATGAGATGGAGGATACACAGAGGATGACCTTACCTTGACGTAGGGGTGACGCCACGTCATCATGTGGTGGTGTGATGTGAACAGGTCAAAGAGCACACCCAGAGTACGCAGCAGACACAGACGGAACACGCCGTCCGGCAGCTCCACACACAGCTCACTGTAGGCCAGCCTGTGAGGGCGGGTTAATGGGACGGCAGGAAGCACAAGAAGGCAAAAAAAAGGTACTTAACAGAGGAGACGCACACGAATAAGATAGAAACACAAAGAGCAGAAAATAATGCTGCCCTGTTTTACTTATCATATAAGAGATGAAATCAGAGTGCAAAGTTCAAGGAAGAGAAAATGACGAAAGCAGACTGAGATCATCAGAAGCAGGAGCAGGAGGACATGAATGAAGCACTACAAGCCGCACACATGGCAAGCACCTAAGAGATACACCACGTGACACAAGTGATGTTTTGAGCCGTCTCAAAATGGAGCACTAGAAGCCGCACACATGGCAAGCACCTAAGAGATACATCACCCTCTCCTCCCCATGCGGCCTCACTCACCTGCTTCTGTGCCCGTCATCCTCCCCCATCGCCTGTACGACAAGCAAGGGCAGAGCAGAGCAGAGGGTAACATAACACAGCTCAGTTGCGAGAGTGAAAAAGTGGGAAGTAGCAATGTGTGCACAGGAGACCACAGAGCAGACTCAGAGTTGCGGTTATGAGACATGCTGCGCTTGATACGACCATTAAAGCCACGTTTCTCTTGAATGCAACCCGCACCTGCTCCAGGAAGTGCGACTGAGTTCTTGAGACGTCTCAACACTCAATGGCATGGCATGCCACGCGACATGCCTTCTACAGGAAGTGCATGCAACTGCATGTTGCAGGAGCAGGTGACGCCTCAAAACGCAAGTCAATACTCGCAATAGAATGCCAGCAGCATACCTGCTCCAGGAACTGCAGCAGGGTGTCGTAGGTGCAGGTGATGACAGAGTGGGCGAAGAAGTTCTGCACCTTTGAGAATTCCGCGAGATAACAAACAAAGTGGCATACCTGCTCGAGGAACTGCTGCAGGGTGTCGTAGGTGCAAGTGACGACCGACTGTGCAAAGAAGTGACTTTTGAGTCGACTCAAAAGCTTACCTGCTCGAGGAATTGCAGCAGTGTGTCGTAGGTGCAGGTGACGACCGACTGTGCAAAGAAGTTCTGCACCTTGTCGGCCAGCGTGGCCGCATCGTCCATCACTGCATACGCATCAATCACCTGAGGGGTGCCGAAAAGGGGAAGCGGAGAGAGAACTGATAATGTGACGACCCTATGAGTCGTCCATTGCAGCATTAACCATCATATGCTGATGGCTGATTGGCGGTACCACTGTGGTAACGCGGGGCGAAAGGCAAGTTTTCTTTCAGTGGGCCATCAGATGCATATGGGGCATTGATGGATGCACATGACGGGGGTAAAACCTGCTGGAAGCTGCTCAGACAATGGATTGCAGGTGGGATTCGGACATGAGCACATACATATGCAAACCCGGCAAAAAGCGACACCAAGCACTTTTATGATCAGAGAGTTGAAATTTCCGTAGGGCTGAAGTGGCTTACGACTGCATAAGAAGGCGAGTCGAAGGACTTGCAGACAGTGAAGAGCAGAGCATCTACATGGTCCACCACCCGGGTGAGCCACTCCTGTTTGAGGGTTGGGGAGAGGGGGCATGGAGGGAGGAGCGGAGGACACAATAGGGCACGGGGAAGGGAACAGAAGGACTTGCAGACAGTGAAGAGCAGAGCATCTACATGGTCCACCACCCAGGTAAGACACTCCTGTTGGGTGCGGGAAGGTGGAGGGAATCGAGACACAGGGGCAGGCACAGGGAATGAAGCAGGTTCATATCTCGAACCTCTGCCAGCTGCACGTTTTGCTCGACGAGCGCTAGGCCATGGATGCAAGAAACAAGGCTCTGGGACAAACTGCTGCTCACCTCGATGCTGATGTTCATGTTGCGTATCGCCGCCAGCTGCGCGCTCTCTTCGATGAGCACGAGGGAGTGCGAGCAGAGGGGCAGAGCAGCGCATGAGCAGCAGCAGCAGCAGCAGCAGCAGCAGCAGCAGCAGCAGCAGCAGCAGCAGCAGCAGCAGCAGCAGCAGCAGCAGCAGCACCCATGTGCCTCTCCCCACCCCCACACAACCCTCCATCACCCTCAACACCCACTGACACGCCCACCTCAACTCCCACCGACACACCCACCTCAATGCTGATGTTCATGTCTCGTATCGAAGCCAGCTGAGCGTTCTGTTCGATGAGCACGAGGCAGTGCGAGCAGAGGCGCAGCGCGCGGGCGAAGTCGCCCTCGTCGATGCATGCATCCATGCGGCCCCTCACATCCACCACCTGCTGCATGCGCATCAGCACTGGCAGCATGCTCTGGTTGGCGGGGGAGAGAGGGATTGGTGAGGGGGGAAGAGGAGGAATAGAATCAAGGCAGTCCACGTCCACCACCTACTACATGCGCATCAGCACCGGTAGCATGCTCTGGTGGGGGAGAGGGGTGTGGCGAGGCAAGGGTGATGAGGAGCAACGGCTCAGCGCGGAAGGGGCGATGCTGAAGTGAGCGCGGGCAAGGGCTCACACAGTGAGTGAGCTGAGCACAGCTCGAGTCAGCTCAAGGGAGGTCGAATCAATCAACATGCACAGTGGAGTAGACTCACAGTGAGCATCTATGAGTCAAGACTCACAGTGAGCATCTTCTTTTTGTTGACACTAGCAGCCACGACCAGGTCGCTCGCCACCTCCTCCATCGCCTTGTTCAGATGCCGCCTCGCATTCTGCACGCAACATGTGCGTGTGCCATGATTGGTAGGGGGGAGGGGAATTTGTGCATTTGACATGAGAGGGATAGAGGGAGGAGAGAGGTGGAGGCAGGAGGGGAATGTGGGGGGAGGGGGTTGGTGGAGAAATTGGCATGCACGTACAGTCATTCCCCCTCCACCACAATATGTCATTCACAAACGATGACTGCTACACCATTTCCACTGAATCCCAGTGCATCCTATCCCCTCCTTACTGCACACCACCACCGTGCCACCACCGCATGGAATGCCATGCAACCCCTCCATACCCAGCAGATGACGGACACCACCATGCCATGCCATGCCATATCATATCATGGCATGCCATCATACCCGGCAGATGACGGACACCACCCGCAGCTCTCGGTCCAGCTCCCCCACCAGCTGCATTCCTTGCACTGCCACACCGCACCGCACCACACCGCACCGCGCACGATGAGAGGCAAATTTGCAAGGAATATTCACCGAACAATTACGTTTCACCAAAGCCTACACTCGCGATTGTTGATTTTCTTATAATTATGTCTACAAAGCAAGCAACCATCATCACCCACACGCACCCCCCCACCACCCCCACGCACCCATTTTCTGGTGGTGGTTCATGACCTGCGTGGCCAGCTGCTCCGTGATCACGTCCAGCTGCAGCAGCATGGATGGAAGGCAGTCCATCCATCCATTCCATCATGTCTGAAGAGCACGCACCCATCACCACACACACACACACCCCACCACCTGCATGCACCCCTCTCCACCCCCACGCACCCATTTTCTGGTGGTGGTTCATGACCTGCGTGGCCAGCTGCTCCGTGATCACGTCCAGCTGCAGCAGCCGCCGCCCGCTGTGCATGCCCAGCTGCTGCAGCGCCACCGTGTCGCTCGGTAGCTGCTCCAACTCCGCCCTCACAGCGTCAAACGACTGGGATAAGGGTGTGGAAGGGAGGCAAGGGGAGACAAGAGAATGGTATTTCGAGTCCCAGCTGCAGGCACACCAACCGTGACCCGCAGTAGTTGCTCCAGCTCCGCCCATTGCGTCAAACGAATGGGGAAGGGAGAGGTGGGCAAGGGGAAGAAAGAGTGGTCTGTTTGATAGGTCCCATTGAAAAGCATTCAGCGGCCAGCCCAGCTGCTGCAGCGCCACCGTGTTTCGCAGGAGCTGCTTCAGCTCCGCCCTGACAGCGTCAAACGACTGGGGAAATGGGTGGGGTGAGGGAACCAAGCAAAAGGGGTAGGAATCGCGAGAAAGGGTTTGGCTAGGGGTTTTTCACTGGCCTTCATGAAGTGTACAACAGCCATACCCATCTTCGCTTCTGAGTCAACACACTGGCCCTGTTCGCCACGTCTTTTGTGGGCCATCAAAGGGATGGGCGGGGGATCCGGAATCCGCCTTGCACCTTCGAAAAGGGCTGAAATCAGGGTTTTGGGGCCGGTCAGACCGACAAAATCCTGTCGAGCCTGACGATCCCCTCCGAACCACGGTGGGCTTGCTTGTCGTGGCGAACACCCACTTTTATGGGTTGGGGCGGGGGATCCGGAATGCGCATGGCAGTTTCCTGCCCTGCCAGCTAGGAATCCCATCCCATTTCTCGCCTCTCCCTCGTGCATACCACAAATTTCAAAGGTGCATCCCCTTCCTGAAAAAAAATCCCCTCTAAGGGAAAGGGGGAGGCAGGTGCTAGATCCCCTTGTCCCCCTTCCTGATCCCATTGGCGAAATTTCAGTAGAGGGCGAGCCCCCCCGGACGCAGCTCGCAACTTCGTGCGCACCTTCTGGAGCCCTCGCCCATCCTCCGCCCCTCGCCTATAACGTGGTCGTGGCGAACACCGCCGCTATGAATCCTAACTGAACCTGGCCCTCGGTAATCACGAGACATTCCCATGCGCCATGGCCTCCACAACCCCTCTTTTCCTCGAACAAACACCCACCACCAATCCCTCTCAGTCATTTGTCCAAACACCCAGTCGCACCCACTTTGAGGTAGAACTTGGGGTCCAGCATCTCAGCGTGCTCATTCCTGGGGCGAGACGCTCACATTCCCATCCCCTCCACATCCCCTCTCTTGGACAAACAGACACCCACCACCATCAGTCTCACTCAACCTCATTCCACCGCACACAACCTCACCCACCTCGAGGTAGAACTTGGGGTCCAGCATCTCAGCGCGGTCGTTCTTGGGACGAGACGCTATGAACCCTGACAGGAACCCGGGCGACCCTGACATTCCCATACCCTCCACTCCCATCAGCGCCCGCTTCCCCACCATCACCGGGGTTCTCGTCCGCAAATCCTCCTCCGACACGTCAGACAGCGCCGCAGCTGCCACGTCAGCAACGGAGGGGGATGACTCTGAGTCATACCCGGATGATTGACCTGGACTGGGGTAACGAGGGTCTGGGGAGGGAGAGGAGTAAGCAGCCATGCGGCTGCGAGAAGCAGGAGGGGCGGTCATGGGGGTACGGCTACCCATTCCCATTCCTACCCCTCCTCCTGCTCCTCCTGCGAATTGTGCTCCTGATGATGATGGAACCGGGGATCCTGCCCCATCGTCGCCAGAGGCGAGTAGAGTTAGCTGATTGAAAGAGGAGGACGACGAAGAGGCGGCGCCAGAGGGACCACGACCGAAGCCTCTACTGGCAGGCCCAGGGTTGGGGCTAGCATTTCGCAAGGGGGAGTGGAAGCGAGGTGGGGAGGCAGGCGCGAGCAGGATCTGGGAGGGGGATCCTAGAGGGCGCTCGGGGGACGCGTCGGAATAGTCGAGAGTGCGCTGAGTGCGGGATGCGCCGCTGTGGCTGCTGCTGCTAGCACCCGCGCCTTTGGCGCCAAGACCGCTAACCCCCCTGATCCACTCCCTGTCTCTGTCCCCGTATCTGTCTCTGTCTCTGTCGTACTCCCTATTTCCCCCTATGTCTCTGTCCCTGTCCCCGTACCCATTCGCATTGCCTCCTCGCGACAGAAAGCCGCTCGGACTGCCTGTGCGATTTGAAAGATCCTGATTGGAATTGTTCCTGCTGCCAGAACGGAATGTGTCCGGCTGCTCAAAGCGTGAGGGAGGGTCGTGGAGAAGTGGACAAACCGGGACATTGATCGATCAGAACTAACTAAAAAGACGTGAAAAATGACCAGCTAAGTGAATCGACCAAGGCCTGACCCGGAAGAATGCGGAATGTGTAAACATCTAGCTTGTGCGTGAAAATGGTTTGAATTACGTTTCCCTGAAAAGGGTTAAGACGCTGCTAAGCAGTCTGAAGATTGAGGAGATGAAGGTAGGGGAGTTGGACGGATCGTACGACAGCAGGAGAGGCAGAGTTATCGAGAGGACTGGACATAATTCGATTCGACGCCGTCCGAATCATGCTTTCCGCGAATCTTCTGACTTCGTCCATGGCTGGCACACTAGGTCAGAGCTGTCAAATAGAATCAACGATTTAGGACAAGGATGCCGGCCTGGGTCCTGAGTTTCGGAACACGAAGTGTGCGTTCGGCACCGCTTGCAAAGCTTGCGTGCGACTGCTCATCCCAGGACTGATGCGCTTTAGGTTCAAAATCTTTGCGAGCTCGCAGGGTGAACTTGCGAAACTGTGTGCAAGATCATGCCTTTGAATCGCAGCGTCGCATCGGCACAATTTAAACGATCCGCGTCACGCGCTATCTCATTGCACCACTAATCTCCCAGATTAGTCCTCATTAGTGTCTACGGACGAAGCGAGGCACGACAAACTCATTAATGGCGAATCATCGCGTTCAAAATACATGAGGCTCGCTTGACTGATGCAAAATCGCTGACGAAAATTGACGAATGAAGCTTTTGTAAAGCATGGGGAGGGGAATGGTGGACTGTTGCATGAACTTCAGCTGCAGCAGAGGGCAGGAGGAGGCCGTACCGTACCATACCGACGACCGACACAAACCTGAGGTCCGAGCAAGCACCCACTGATACTGTAGACCCACCCCGCGCAACCACTAAAGATCGCTCGACAATCCCGAGGCCCTGGTTGGCTCTGTGACGACACTACGCCTCAAGATTGTCGCCAAGTAGCTCGCATTATTACTATTTCGCTTACTGAATAAAAAGGTTATGGAACATCTTGTGTAAATAGAAACATTGCACTAATTTTGGATCTCAGACCACACTGCCTCCAATCGTTTCCTTATGCCAGACTTCATTTGGATTGAATCCTCTTCCAATGTTTGCATAAACTTCCAAAAATCGACACCACCATCCTGCAACATGGAAAAAAAAAAGCAAACAAGAAGGAATGATAACTTCAAAAACAACAATGCATGTAATGTCTTTGGATGCTGGTAACTAAACCATCAATAGCGGTGACCAGCCGTAACTTCCTTCCACACCTACATACGTTTCTGGTGGTACTCCTCGTGTACTCACCGCGGGTGGGTGAAAGCGGAGGTCGTCCCATGACTTCCCATGTGGCACATTCATGCGGAGCGACACCTGCCAGCAAAGGGAAATGTAAGTCCGACACATTCTGAGGCACGGCTTGGAGCAGGGAGCCCATGGGAAATGGGAGAAGGAAGTGGGTGGTGGATGGGCCATGAGTAAGGCGTGAGAGAAAGATGACCGCTCAAGAGAGGTGCTCACCAGTTCCTTAGATTGGATTATAGAGTCTCTGCTGGCTATCACTGCCTGCACGCATGCATGCATACCCACACACGCGCACACACACACACACAAACACACAGAGAAGATGCAACGCAGGGGATTATATGACGTGTCGTGAGTGGTTCACAGTGTTTGTGATATTGAGATAACTCAGAATCCTACTCGTCAAGGTTTTGCAGGTCCGATTGAGATTCCTCAAAAGATGCCTACAATTCAAGAGCATAAGATTGAAGGGAGCACAGAAGCCCCACCAGTGACTCACCTCTCGTCCCCTCTTGTCCAGTATTTGCTCTGGCCGCTCCAGTATTCGTTCCACAGACCCTGCCATGCAGCATGACATGTCGACATGATTATGGCTGGAACATGGCAGATTATGGTGGGAGGGTGGTGCTGCTCAGACAGCAAGATTGTGCAGTGGCATCATGGTAAGAAAGATAAAGCATTAGCCCTTGGAGCAAGCAGTAATGGGCAGTAGGTCTAGCTGTCACGAGAGCTGCTTTCAAGAAATAACAAGAGAGAACGCGAGAGAACAAGAGAGAACAAGAGAGAACAAGAGAGAACGCGAGAGAACGCGAGAGAACGCGAGAGAACGCGAGAGAACGCGAGAGAACGCGAGAGAACGCGAGAGAACGCGAGAGAACGCGAGAGAACGCGAGAGAACGCGAAAGAACGCGAGAGAACGCGAGAGAACGCGAGAGAACGCGAGAGAACGCGAGAGAACGCGAGAGAACGCGAGAGAACAAGAGAGAACAAGAGAGAACAAGAGAGAACAAGAGAGAACAAGAGAGAACAAGAGAGAACAAGAGAGAACAAGAGAGAACAAGAGAGAACAAGAGAGAACACGAGAGAACGCGAGAGAACGCGAGAGAACGCGAGAAAACGCGAGAGAACGCGAGAGAACGCGAGAGAACGCGAGAGAACGCGAGAGAACGCGAGAGAACGCGAGAGAACGCGAGAGAACGCGAGAGAACGCGAGAGAACGCGAGAGAACGCGAGAGAACAAGAGAGAACAAGAGAGAACAAGAGAGAACGCGAGAGAACGCGAGAGAACGCGAGAGAACGCGAGAGAACGCGAGAGAACGCGAGAGAACAAGAGAGAACACGAGAGAACGCGAGAGAACGCGAGAGAACGAGAGAGAACGCGAGAGACCGCGAGAGACCGCGAGAGAACGCGAGAGAACGCGTGAGAACGCGAGAGAACGCGAGAGAACGCGAGAGAACGCGAGAGAACGCGAGAGAACGCGAGAGAACGCGAGAGAACGCGAGAGAACGCGAGAGAACGCGAGAGAACGCGAGAGAACGCAAGAGAACGCGAGAGAACAAGAGAGAACAAGAGAGAACAAGAGAGAACACTATCTGATGCAGCATCAAGTCTGTGCCTCTATCATGCAGAAGCAGTTATCCTAGCCATCATGAAGGCAGAACCCACCGTATTTGCGGACGAGCTTGGGTGCGTTCTTGCGGCCGATGCCACGCGCCCCTGGGAAAACGGAGAAGTATGGAAGGGGAGGGAAGGAATGCAGAAGCAGTTATCCTAGCCATCATGAAGGCAGAACCCACCGTATTTGCGGACGAGCTTGGGTGCGTTCTTGCGGCCGATGCCACGCGCCCCTGGGAAAACGGAGAAGTATGGAAGGGGAGGGAAGGACAGGGAGGGAAGCAAACATGAACTGCCAGTACCCACACCACATGAACTGCCAGTACCCACACCACATGAACTGCCAGTACCCACACCACATGAACTGCCAGTACCCACACCACATGAACTGCCAGTACCCACACCACATGAACTGCCAGTACCCACACCACATGAACTGCCAGTACCCACACCACATGAACTGCCAGTACCCACACCACATGAACTGCCAGTACCCACACCACATGAACTGCCAGTACCCACACCACATGAACTGCCAGTACCCACACCACATGAACTGCCAGTACCCACACCACATGAATGAATGTGACGCATATCATGTAACTCTCACATTGCTCTTCGAACACCAAGACGATTCTCAAACTGCACTTTCTCACATAAAACAAAGCCCTCCGTAAGACCTCTCCAAAGAGTCACCACGAACCGGGGATGTTGTCGCTGACGTCACCCATGAGGGCGAGGATGTCAGCAAAGAGTGGCGGATCCACGTCACCCCAGTCCCTCCGAAAGTCCTCCTCCGCGTAAGTGTAGAAGTGCGACGTGGGGTAGCGCGGACTGCCACGCCTGTTCACAAGGGAAAAGGAAGGCAAGGGGCGGGAGGTGGGGAAGCATGTTGCCCCAGTCTCCTCAAAAGTCCTCCTCCGCGTAAGTGTAGAAGTGCGACGTGGGGTAGCGCGGGCTGCCCCGCCTGCATTGGTAAGGGGGTGTCGGATGGGCGATAGGCAGGGGGAGGGAGGTGGGGGGAAGGGAGGGGTTGGCGGGTAGGAGGGGGGGGTTGGTGCAGGGGAAGAAGGGTGTGTCGGGAAAGAGTATGGGAACGAATGGAAAGAGAGCTCTATATGGGATGGAAAGAGTTTGGATGGGCACACCAGACGCACTCCAGCATTCATTGAAAGAGTGAGGCGGAAGAGTGAGGTGAGTAAGGTGGGTGAGACATGAAACATGAGGGTGAAGTGAGCGTGGTGGTGGTGTGAGAGTGGGGTGACCGAAAATATCTCATGAAGGCCTGGATTGAATCAACATAAGAGTCAACGGATTGAACGACCATATCTGAACGCAAAGCGACCAAAAGGGGGCGAGGGGGAAGGGGGAGGGAGCAGGGGGGAAGGGGGAGGGAGTAGGGAGAAGGGGAGAATGGGGGGGAACGAGGGGGAAAGGGCACTGACTTGGGGCGTTGTGTGGGTCGCAGTATCTTGAGGTTGGGAGAGAGCAGCTGAAAGAAGTCCTTGTCAGGCGATGCTATGCGCACCTGAGGGTGAAGAGTGGCGGAAACAAAAGCACAGGCGAAAGAGAGAGAGAGTCAATGATTGCGTTGTATGACTGACATGTCATGAGCGGGAGGAGTGGGAGAGGTCACTTCCCGAGCAATACCATGGCCACCTGAAGGTGGGAGTGGGAGGGGTTTGGGGAGGAAGGGAAGGGGGGTTGGGGGGTATGTGCGGTCATAGGAAGAAAGCAGGAGGAGGAGCAAGAGGTGTGTATCTGATGTGTCAGAAACAGGAAAAGGGCCCTTGCATCTAGCTTCCTTGCATTGCAGGCACCCTCCATGCAACAATCACTCAAACTACCCTCACCTGCCAATCTTGTCTGCTGCAGTTCTGACCTTCCCTTCCCTCCTCACCGTGCCTTCATCTGTTGAGCCAGTGCGCTACCTTCATGCCATTCTCAAGAGCTTCTGCTTCGGGGTCTGAACGTTTGAGGCATCTAAACGACTCCTCACCTCGCCCGCACGCTTGTGATGAGTCGATTTTTAAGTCGACTTAAAAATCACCTCACCCGCACGCTTCGGAGCAGCACAGTACCTACCTTCATGCCATTCTGCAGCACCTGTGTTGCGAGAGTGGCACTTTTGAGACATCTTGCTACTCCTCACCCGGCCTCCATGCCTCACCTGACATCTTGCAGCATGCCCACCTTCATGCCATTCTGCAGCGCTTCTGTTGCGAGAGTCGCAATCACATCGTCCGCCTCCACTCCGGATATCTGTGGGCAGAGCGATGGGTACACAAGGACACAATACACAAGGTCACGATACACACACACAGGCAAAGGCAACATCACACCAAGGCCGCATAGCAGCATCAGTCACTGTGCCTCTGTCGTGAGAGTCGCTCACAATCACATCGTCCGCCTCCACTCCGGATATCTGTGGGCAGAGCGATGCACAAGGCACATACACAAGGGCAGAGCACATGCACGCTCAAGAACAGGCATACACACATGCAACACACACACACTCCACAGGCGCTGCTAGCACGTCCCATATCCTGCAAGCGTCCGGGAAACGCACAAGCCCACCCCGGTGGCCACAATCTCACATGCGCCACTCACCGCAAAGGAGGGCGGCTTCAGTGCGTGCAAAGCAGCCTGCATGAGCTCCATGGCTCGCGACACGGCGTCAGATGCATACCAGCAATTCAAAGCTCCCCTCCGCCACTCACTGCAAAGGAGGGCAGCTCTAGGGCGCGCAGGGCGGCGCGGCCTGCATGAGCTCCATGGCTCGTGCCACGGCATTGAGAGCATCCAATAACCCTGCACCGCACTGCACCACACAACCTCAAGCCTCAAGCCGTGCACTCACCGCAAAGGACGGCAGCTCCAGCGCGCGCAGAGCAGCCTGCATGAGCTCCATGGCTCGTGACACGGCGTCAGGGCGAGGCGGGCGCGTGCTCTTGTATCCCTGGAAGGAGTCGTGGCGGAACGTGGGGTCTGCGTGGGAAGATGAGCGGAGAGGAAGGCGTTAGAAGGTGAGTATGAGATCTAGGAATGACTTCTGCTGCTCTTGTAGCCCTGGAAAATAGCGAGATGACTTGTGAGTCGACCCGAAAGTCATCTCCCTAGGAATGACTTGTGATGCTCTCGTAGCCCTGGAATATCACGTGACAGAACGTGGTGTCTGTGCTAGCAAAGGTTGTATTTATGATGGGCTCAAGAGAGGCAAGGTATACATAGATGGAGGATATGTGAGCTTGGCCAACAATTATTAAAGGCCCCAATAAGTGTTGGTTTGGTTGGACCAACATTATTGGAGCTCCGATAATTGTTGAGTGGGTTTGAACCAGCATTATTGGAGGTCCAATGATTGTTGGGAACCCAACCAAGCTTCAACCACAAATTGTGGTTGAAGGTACACCCAACAATCCTACACCTATTCTAGCATATGCGTGTTGTATATAAGATATTACAGCAGTCTGCATGGGAAAGGGGGGGTTGACAGGGGGAGGGAGGAAGAGGGGGGAGAGCTGGGAGTAAGAGACAAGACTTATACGACCTGTGAAAACTCGGCATGAGTCTTATTGTCATTAAAAGGCGCCATGAACTGGAATTGCGTTTGTGAGGCGAACTGGAAAGTGTAAGTGGTACGCACAACATGGAATCACATAATGCATTGTATGTTACAATGGTAAACAATGGCTGACTCACTCACCCCCATGGTCGAACACCAGCTGGGCAGAGCCGAGGAGCCACAAGCAGGAGGCCGCGGGGCAGGAAAAAGACGGCGCAATTTCGTGCAGGAGGAAGAAGAGAGAGAGAGAAGGAGAGAACAGGAAAGAGGAATTAATGGAATGAAGAGAGGAGAGGAGAAGCTTTGTGACAGTGCGTGCAAGATGCCGAACCACATATCATATCATATCATATCATATCATAGCATATCATATCATATCATATCATATCGTATCGTATCGTATCGTATCGTATCGTATCATATCATATCATATCATATCATATCGTATCATATCATATCATATCATATCATGTTGTGCAGGTCGGAGGGATATGGAGAGACATGAGTGTTGTGTGCTCTGCACGCGACTCTCTCTTCCCCATTATGCGTCACACAGATAAAAAAACTCAATAAACACATCGTCACACCCCACCACACTCACTGCTACGTGTGTTGGGAGCATCGCTAGAAGGTTGACGATCTGAAACCACGTTACCACCGCAGAACACAAACACAGGCATATGGGACAGAGTAGAGCAGGTACGAAAGGGATGGAGGTCAGGCAAAGAGATGGTAAATGAGGAAGGGATGGGCTGCGGCAGGTATTCTAAAATGCCAAAGACAAGAGTGGGAAAGCGAGGGAGGGGTGGGTTATGGGAGGGAAGCAATGTAAGATTCAATTGAGGCTGTCTGCTGCCTCACAAACCAGTCAGAGGTAAGAGGAGATGGAGTGTCGGGTGGAAATCCATCCACACACCCACCTGCTGTTGCTTGAGGAACAGGTAAGCAATACATGCACCTGTCCAAAGGACTTGCAACGTGCGCACCTGGCCTCAAACGGCTTGCAAGTTGCAACACACGCACACACCTGCTCGAAGGACTTGAACAGCATGCCCATGACGTCCTCGTCGTTCAGAAAGCATCAATCTGAAGCCCTTGGGAGCACATGCACCTGCAGAAACGACTAGCATTGCAACAAACAACACGCACCTGCTAGAACGACTTGGACAGCGTGCCCATGACGTCCTCGTCGTTCAGAAAGCATCATTCTGATGCCCTTGGGAGCACACGCATCTGCAGAAACGACTTGCGTTGCAGCGCACGCACACACCTGCTCGAAGGACTCGAAGAGCGTGCACATGACGTCCTCGTTCCAAGAGCATCATAAGCCCTTGGGAAGCACATGCAGCTGACCTCAAACGACGTGCAACAGACGCACGCACCTGCTCGAAGGACTTGAAGAGCGTGCCCATGACGTCCTCGTCGTGTGCGAAGGTGTTGTAACCGCTGTGGTGTAACCGCGCTGCGAGGCACACCGGCATGCAAGAGAAAAAAGTAGTTGGGTTTTTTAGAGTTCTCCAAAACCAGCTGTGGTGTACCCATGCTGCAAGACTAACCGGGATGCAAGTGAGATCACACGACATTGAACAGGAAAGAGAGTTAGAGGATGAGCGAGTAGCCATCACCTGATGCTTGGTGGTATGCTCTGTACTCTTATAAACCACCTCAAAGTAGCGAATTCGCCTGATAATCCGCGGACCCTGGTAAGTCTGGCACACTAAAATTGCTACCGAGCAATCTCAAAATCACCTTGGGAGTATCGGACTCGCCTGATATCTGATGGTAAGCCCGGTACACTACAGGATGGCCGTCGATCAATAACAGCCGTCCGTTGTCCTCCTGCCAGCCCTCCATCGCGCTAGGCTCGTGCTCGTCTATCAACGCTTCCTGCTCCTCGATCATCTCCTCTTGCTCGAACCTTATTTCTTGTTGCACCACTAACTTATTTCGTCGTAGCGCCACTCCCGTCATGTCCTGAGCCTCAACCCCATCAGGTGCTTTAGGTGAGATTCTTTCCTTTTGGCCTGGCGTATCTGGCAGATTTTCCACGTCAGCAAGGGCATCACTGCCAGCTCGGACCACGACGCTGTCGATCCGAGCGACGCGGCTAACCCTAACGGTAACGGACGACGACGACGACGACGCGGAGGTTAAGGAGCGAAGCGAACCGAGAGAGCGAGAACATGAAGTAGCGGTGATTACGTGTTTCCCAGAGTCAGCATGTGACGCTTGAACGGGTACTCGAGTCAAACGCGCTGTGGACGCGTTTTCGTGCCGAAAAAAACTGGAATGGCGAGGGTAACAAGTGACGATGCCATCGTGCGGCCTTATAGGTGGTAACGCGAGGGGGTTCGCCATGGCGAATTCGTTCGAATTCGCGAAGATCTTCGCGCTACCGGAGGAAATGACGGGGAGATTGCGCGCGGAGAGACGAAGGACGCACTGGAGCAAGGAGGATCGACGAGGTCTGAGAGCGAGAGGACGAGGCGCAGCGACGCCTCGAGCCAGCATGGCTGGCGTCACGTAAAAGCTTATTTGCTGCTGAAATAACGCCTGGGCAGATGTGGATTGTGGATTTGGATTAGCAACCTTGTGGCTTCGATTCATCAGTTGGCTATTTTTCTGTAACTGGATCTCCAAAACGAACGGACGAATTCTCGATTGAATTTCGTCAGACATTACGAGATGCGTCGCCACGAATCACGACCCAGGGGAGTTGTGGGGAATAAGGGGCCAACTGGCATCGCGAAACGTTTTCCATCGCTTGCGCAAGCCTCGTGGAAAAAATCCGCAAATCCACCTCCATTTTCAGGGTAACAAGGAACAAGCCAACCAGCTTCGCGAAACAAGCCAACTGTGTTACCAAAACGTCTACTGTTTGGAAACTTCTCAGGCCATAAATTGCTTGGATTTTGGCAGCGAGCGTCTGTGAGGGGCAGTATTGTAGGTTTCTATTCCAGTAATTCCGACTTGTAGCTGGTTACAGGACGTGTTGAATCGGCACACTAGCTGACCCCCGGTTGTGACAGCTGTTTCTTGTGATAGTCAAGTCACGAAGCACCATCGCCTGCTTGCGTCCGACGCGCTTAGCGAATACTTCCGTGTCGGCGCTGTCCTTACCTCTCGCCCTTTGACGTCGCCAGCCAGTGTCCTGTTACCAGTCCGCACCCGTAGTCTCTCCACGAAGACGGATTCTCTGTTACCAGGCAGTTTTCGAGTTCGTGGCAGTGCTTGGCAGCAATAGTCTCGAAAGGGCGGGAAAAGCCTGTAGGTGATGGTGTTTATTTCTTTCTTCCTTCTAAGGCGAACCTTGTTCTTTTGAGCATTTATCGGTTCCTCTGACCTCCTTGCAGCCCTCTCAGCTTCTCTCCTCCTCTCTCCTCCTCTCCTTCCTTCTCTCTCCTCTCCACTCCGGTTGTCTCTCAGCCAGCAATGAAGCGGACGGAGTGGCGCGTGAGGTCGTTCAGGAGGCACACCTGCTGTCTTCAGCTCGAAACCTTTTAAGGGGCCTAAAACGATCGCCTACTCTCATCTCTCTTCCTCTCCTCCTCTTTTCCTCTCCTCCTATCCTCGCCTCTCCTCTCTTCTCCCTCAGCCAGCAATGAAGCGCAGCGAATGGCGCGTGAGGACGCATCCAGAAGGGAGCACGCCAGCCGCGGACGGAGCACCCGGAAATCCCGGAGTGGGGGAGGCACTGTCATGGCAGGATGAGGAGGTGTACCGAATGTTTTGGAAGCACGGGCAGCACATGATGGGGCTGCTGCAGGGCTTTCTGGGCACGATCGACCTGACAGTCAACCACCACAGAGTGGTCCAGGCCACCAAGGTGCGAACACGGTGAATTTAACGGAATCAATAAATGTGACGTTGTGACTCTTTTTTTGAAGGCGCCCTAAAACTAAATGTGACGGGATAACTCTTTCAGTCGACTCAAAAGTCACAAGATCAGTCACATCCTGAGGCAATCGGGTACAAAAGAAGAGAGAGAATTAAATAAGGAAACGAAAAAAAAGAACGGGAAAAGTCTACGCACTCCTCCCCCATTCCCTCCCCCGCACCCCATCTTTCCCGTTTCCCCCAAAACGAAACCCCACCCATTTCCTTGTGTTCTCCCCCACCCCCTCTTTCCTCGTCCACTGCACCCCTTTCCAGCCTGTCAGCGAATATCCCCCCAACATCCAACGGGCTCTCGAGAACCTGAAGGAGCACCGCCGCCAGCAGCAGCTCAGGCCGTCCCAGTTTGTTTTGAGACGTCTAAAAACCTTACTGTCTTTTCCCTCCCCCATTCCCTCCCCCGCACCCAACCTGACTGTCTTTTCCCTCCCCCATTCCCTCCCCCGCACCCAACCTGACTGTCTTTTCCCTCCCCCATTCCCTCCCCCGCACCCAACCTGACTGTCTTTTCCCTCCCCCATTCCCTCCCCCGCACCCAACCTGACTGTCTTTTCCCTCCCCCATTCCCTCCCCCGCACCCAACCTGACTGTCTTTTCCCTCCCCCATTCCCTCCCCCGCACCCAACCTGACTGTCTTTTCCCTCCCCCTCTCTCCCCTGCACCCAACCTGACTGTCTTTTCCCTCCCCCATTCCCTCCCCCGCACCCAACCTGACTGTCTTTTCCCTCCCCCATTCCCTCCCCCGCACCCAACCTGACTGTCTTTTCCCTCCCCCATTCCCTCCCCCGCACCCAACCTGACTGTCTTTTCCCTCCCCCATTCCCTCCCCCGCACCCAACCTGACTGTCTTTTCCCTCCCCCATTCCCTCCCCCGCACCCAACCTGACTGTCTTTTCCCTCCCCCATTCCCTCCCCCGCACCCAACCTGACTGTCTTTTCCCTCCCCCTCTCTCCCCTGCCTCTTCTCCTCATCCAGCCGTTCGACGAATACCCCCCCAACATCCACCGTGCTCTCGAGAGCCTGAAGGAGTACCGCCGCCAGCAGCATCTCAGGGCAAATGACGGCATTGCTCCGGCGCGCAAGCGGAAGAGGAAACCGCAGGGGCGG